AAACGGCTCACGTTACTTGGTGCGTCAGAACTCTCGAAAGATTCCACGCAGGAACCTCAAATGCTGTATACAACATCGTATCAGGTGACGAATCCTGGATATACGCGTACGAACCCGAAACAAAAAACCAGTCACGAGTTTGGGTGTTCGAAAATGAGTTAAAGCCAACAAAAATTGTTCGTTCACGGAGTGTTGCAAAAAAAATGGTGGCCACGTTTGTCTCCAAAACCGGCCATATTACGACTATTCCTCTTGAGGGACAAAGAACGGTTAATGCAGAAGTGTATGTTAGCATTTGTTTGCCACGGGTCGTTTCTGAACTCCGTAAAGAGAACTGCAACCACCGCATCATCCTCCATCACGAGTCACGACAATGCGAGTTCTCACACCGCACACAGAACAAAAGATTTTTTAGGGCAAGAAAACATAGAATTATTAGACCATCCGCCGTACAGCCCCGACTTAAGTCCTAATGATTTCTATACTTTCCCTAAAATAAAGAATAAATTGCGTGGACAGAGATTTTCATCACCTGAAGGAGCTGTAGACGCCTACAAAACGGCCATTTTGTAGACCCCAACTTCCGAATGGAATGGTTGCTTCAATGATTAGTTCCATCGTATGGAAAAATGTGTCAAATTTCGCGGAGAATACTTCGAAAAGCAATAAATACATTTTTAAATAGTAATGTTGTGTTGTGTCACTTCCTTGATTCCCGAAATTTTCAGTGCCGCCTCGTAATGTGTGTTTTTTTAGAGTTTAAGTTGGCAGCACTTTTTTAACTAGCGGCCATTTTGTCAGCTGTCAAGTGTTTTATGTTTAGTTTGGTTTGGCATTTCAACATGAATAGACTGACGCCTGAACAACGCTTCCAAATTGTGCAAATTTATTTTGAAAATCATGGATCTGTTCGAAATACGTATCGCGCATTACGTCCATTTTACGTTCAACATAATCGTCCATCAGAGCAATTAATTGGATTAACTATGGGACGTTTTCGCGCCACGTTTACTCTAAATGATAATACGCATCCACAGAGATGTCGTACAGTGCGTACAGAAGAATTCATTGCTGCTGTAGAGCGTAGCGTAGAGGAAGACCCGAATCAGTCTATCCACCATCGTGCACGGGAATTGGATATGTGTCCATCCACTTTATGGAAGATTTTGCGGAAAGATCTTGGTTTGTGTGCTTACAAAATCCAACTCGTGCAAGAATTGAAGCCTCGCGATCACCTAGCAAGGCGTAGATTCGGTGAATGGGCCCAAAATAAGATTGCCGACGATCCCGATTTTCATAAGCGAATTTTGTTTAGCGATGAAGCTCACTTTTGGTTGAATGGATATGTCAATAAACAAAACTGCCTTCTTTGGAGTGATGAGAATCCTCAAGGGTATGTTGAGACACCGTTACATCCTATATTAGAAAATAATAAATATAAATAAAAATATATTATAAAATGTTTTGCTAGTGAAATAAACATCGAGGACGCGAAGTACATAATAGCTGCTTTATTTTTCATATAGTAATTAGTGTTGTGTAATTAAAGTGTCAATTTTGGTAATTCGATCGGCAGTTTTTAATTGTTTCGAACCCCAAGCTCGTAACAGAATTTAAGGATGATAATAACCCCTAGAAATGAGGTGATCGCTACCAAGCTATTTTTAATTTGTTGTGTTGTTAATTTGTGTAACATACATTATAGTAAGCTGTTACTTAAAAAAAAAGTTCCGCTGGGTTTCTTGCTGGTTCTTCTCAGGACAGAGGTTTTTTTTTCGAACTAGTGGTAATTTTACTGAACTGTTAGGCTACCTCGTTGGTTTGAAAATGCGACAGCTGATCATAATATCCAGATGGTTGGATCAAAAAGCATTTATTGAGTTTTTTTTTTCAAGAAATCCTCAGTAACAACCCGGAGTCAGGTAGTTAGCGATGTTTCACTCCCGTGCCTCAGAAAGCACGTAAAGCGTATACGTGGTGGAGCCAAGCTGCAGCGATATTATGGTTGTGGCATTAGTGTGGGTCGGCTCGACCGGGGTAGTACCACGCTGTCACAGAAGACCAGCATAAAATAGCAGCTTAACACTCCTGCGTTTCGTATGGTCAGTGTAGAGAACCGGATACACTTTTTACTGGAAATGAGGCATTTGATAACGCATCTGCATTTTGATCCTTAATCGAGGATACTGGATAACTTCTTGATTGAGGAACTGTATGCCAAATTACAAATTAATAATGTACATGAAATAGTCGCTGAGAACAACTTCTGTGACAGAGAGACAGATAACAGAGTGATCTGACAGTGCTCCGTTCAACAATTTTTTGTGTAGATCACTAATGATGGTGGTAAAGTGAAATCCACGCGAGTAAAACCGCAGAAAAAAACTAGTACGAAATAAATATAAATACTTCACACACCGGTTGTTAGGTGGTAGCCTGAGGGTCCAATGTTACGTGAAAATGAGTTCCAATAAATAATCCCGTTTATTCTCCAACTACATAGGTAATATGAAGCATCGCTTATATGAAGTTTTCGCACGCTCTTTCATTCTGGTAGTATGTAAAATGTAATGATTATATTCTTTGGTAGTACGTACGGGTGTGAGATGACCTACAGCACACCACAAAAAGTCAGAATATTTTATTCCTTAACAAAAGTCGAATTGCGCGTCCTAATTTCTTTTTTTTTAAACTATTTGCTAAATTATTTAAATAACAATCCGAGTGTCCCAAGTTTTATCAGAAAAATAACTTAAAAGTTTTCATATACCTTTATTACAAAAAAAGCAGTGCTATAATAAAATATTTTGTATTGAAACAATGTCTTCCAACCAGTCCTTGAACGTTGGAATATATACTATAATGAATGGTAAAGTTTTTCCTTGTCTTTCGCCCCACGAAAAAAATCCGGTAATGTTGTAACCTTGTAGCAATGCCGCACCGTGATCTAAAACATTTGAATAGACTTATAACGTATATAATATGTTGTATGTTACTTACCTATAGAAATAACCGAAGTCGTTTCATACAATGCAAATACAATTAAGGCTAGTCTCCATCCCTTAGTCGAGAGTTCCAACCACAGAACACTATAACTCTTATTCCAACTAAACTTTTTGATTAGTTTGACGTTTTTGACGACAAATAAGAATCATCGTCGATCAACCACAAACCCTGTAAAGAAAACCGTATCTAAATCGGTCAAACCGTTTTGGAGATAAATGGGAACATTTGTTGCATACACAAACAACCTCTGACCCTAAACGTTGCTGTTGTTGCTGTCAACAAATTTAGATGGAAAAATAAAGTAATTTTAGTTAACTTTCCTAACTACTTTAAAACAATAAATGTAATATAGATAATATATTTGATTTCAAATGCATTTTTGAATATAACGTAGAAACATATCTAATAATAATACTTTATAATTGTTACCTCAGTGTTAGAAATGTCTAGCATATGAATATAAAAAAGAAATATTATTTAAATACCCAAAAAACATTGTAGTAAACCCAAAATTAAATATTATAAATATTTTAAAATTTTGGGCGAACCACATCTCGCTAGCTACATAGGTTGTACCATATGGCTCGCACTGTCAAAAGTTATCAGATCTCATGTAGAGCCAAGTTTCTAATTCTAAACGCCCTAACTCTACAAGCCTTAATTTCACACACTACACCTTAGTCAAAAATGTCACTTGGCCGTATCGTTACTATCGGCTGCCGTTGCTGTAGATGACGACCGCTGGTGTGGTGGGCAACTGCGGCTGGCGATGCTGCCCCCTGCCTCCTTACGCCCACCATACGCCGAGCGCTGTAACGGTAGCGAAACGGCCAAGCCACATATTATTTTGACTAAGGTACTAGAGTTTGTGAAGTTGGGGCTTGTAGAATTAGGGCGTGTAGAGTTAGAAGCTTGGCTGTATGTATGAAATTTTGCACACTCTGTGCAGTTTGGTCCAACTTGAGAGATAGGATAGTTTTTATCCTGATAAGAGACGCTCAATATTTTTTATTACGAATTTAAGGATTTTTATATGAAGGGTCATCGAAAAGGGCAAAACAACGTCTGCCTGGCCAGATAGTATATATATAACACATACAAACTTTCATCCCATACATCATATATGGGCAACAACCAGCCCGCGGGTCGGATCCAGCCCGCGTACTTACGGGAGTGACAGTGAGGCGGCAAACATTAAATCCGTTGATGTTTGCCGCCTCACACTTTGATAATCGCCGCCACTCGGCTTGCTCGATCAAATTCTTATTTATTCTTCTGATTTATTGCCTCTGAATTATTCTAAACTAGTTTATTCCAGATTATTCCTTCATTTTGCCTATATAAGCGGGTGGATGGCTGATCGAACGTTAGTTCAGTTCTATTTGAGCTACCGAGGTGATAATTTGGACAAGCGATATCCTAGCGAACTGCTCGAGCCGTCAACTTGCTTTGTGACTTTGTGTGCATCTTGAGTGGTTACTAACTATAGTTTGTTATTAAGTTTATTGAACGAAAAGTAAACAAAAATAATATCTGGTGGAAAGAAACGAAAAGTAGATACAGAGGGTCGCCAGTTTCAAGAAAAATGGACTGAAGAATTCTTTTTTATCTTGCACAATGGTAAGCCTATTTGTTTGCTGTGTAATGAATCAATTTCAGTAATGAAAGAATTCAATATAAAGAGGCATTACTCAACTAAGCATGCTACGCTGCACTCACTGACAGGACAATTAAGAACAGACACTATTATTTATTACAGACAGAATTTAGAAAAACAGCGACAAATGTTTCTTTAACGAAGAACACAACTTGATAATGTTGTGAAAGCTAGTTTTATATTTAGCTCAAAATTGGCAAAGGCATTAAAACCATTTGCCGAAGGAGAGTTTATCAAGGAGTGTATGTTAGAAGTTTGCGGTATTTTGTGTCCTGAAAAGAAAAATGAATTTGAAAAAATTAGTTTGTCAAGACGAACTGTTGTTCGACGTATAGAAATGATGGCTAATGATATAAAAACAACATTGACTGACCGTATGGCTGGGTTTGAATCATTTTCCATAACATTAGACGAGAGCACCGATTTGTCTGACACAGATCAACTGGCTATATTTATTCGAGGTGTTGATAAGGAATTCACTGTTACTGAGGAATTGCTTGCTTTACAGCCGCTAAAAGGAACCACTACAGGAAAGGATATTTTTATTGAAGTTCAAAAGGTATTCACAAGTTTTGGCTTGCCATGGTCAAAATTAATTGGAGTATGCAGTGATGGTGCACCTTCTATGGTCGGCTTACGTAAAGGTTTCATCGGAATTTTGAATGAAAAAGCAACAGAATTAAATGTACAAAAAGATGATTCGATAGTCCTTCATTGCATTATCCACCAACAGAACTTGTGTTCTAAGTCCATTCGATTCCAGAATGTTATGAATGTGGTAGTAAAAACCATCAATTTTATTCAATCCCGAGGGCTTAACCATCGTCAGTTCAAGACGTTTTTGGGTGAAATATCAGCTGAATATAACGACGTAAGATATTATTGTGAATTCAGATAGCTGAGCAAAAGAAAAATGTTGAAACGGTTTAACGAGTTTAGAAATGAGATAGCAGACTTTATGAAAATAAAAGATAAACCACTATCTGAATTAAGGCTTTAACTAGCCTGAATGACCTTGACGAAACGGCGATCGCAGAGATTTTAGCCGATGTCAACACCGTCTAGCAACTACGTTCTGTATTACTTATAAAAGTGCAAAGATTAATAGACTGCAGAGATGACAATTATATAAGTGACATACTGCCTGTTATGCTTGCGCATCACTGAGAATTATGTCGCGGTTACGCATCTTCAATTACATTGCACGGTGTGGTGCTGTAGCTTGTCCGGTAGGCATCACGAGCTATCAAGTGTTCAAGTACGTAAGAATTTTAATTATATATGTTAAATCGTATTTATTTGTGTCGTATTAAATATATGTCGTCAAAGCGTTCGCTGTAAATTTTCCCGGGTTTGATCCCCGACAGCACGAATGAAATTTGTAATTGCAATTTTCGTAAACACGCATTGGGGAAGCACGGCGGGTATTTCCTTGCCCTAAAACCCTCTCAGAAATAAAAAAAAGAGTCCTGTGCCCAGTAGAGGGACTTGTATAGCCTATTACTTTACTTTGTAGCAATATTTATATTCGTTTCAGATATAGAAGGGTATCTTATGCTGACAAAAATATCATGTGGAGGCGACGAAAACGTAAAACATCTTTGTACCTAGATAAAACGTTCGAAAGATTGTCAGTCATGTCATACGCCACATTTTCTATAGAGCGTAGAACATTGCAGATAGGGCAAAATAAAAAATAATCCAATATATTATGGGAACTATTTATTAATAATATATACATTTATAGGTATTTATAATAAAAATAATGAACAAGCTGCAAGGTTCAACTAATAATATTTTTTGTAAGCACAATCGTAAAATTCCTGTTTTAATTTTTACCAATGGTTAATTGATGAAACGTAGTCAAGATCACTTCATATAAAATATATTTAATTAAAATTGACACTTGACCTATATGGCCTTCTACTTACAACTCGGCGGAAATTTGAAAAGAAGATTTTGTCTTTTCACACAAGTATTGTTTACAACTGGCGTGGTTTCGAAAAGCATGATTAAGTGTCATTGGTATATAATCAATTAAATACTGAACTTTATTGAAATTTATTTTTTTGTTTATTTTTGTTATATCTTCTTAAAAACTAACGCCATCTCACTATTTTATTATTTGTTTTTTTTTGTACGCATAAGGATAAGTTAGACTAAGTTAGATTAACTTGGATAAGTTTATATATTTTTTAATTTTAACACAAAATTTCCGCAATAAATTATTACCTTTTCTACAGTGATTCTCTCCTCTTAGTTTCGGCGTGACTGTAGGATGTTATAGTGAGTCACCGTCAGTTACTAAGCGGCCATAAATTATTATATGTATGTATAGACATACATATATACATTTTTTGATTTTAATATTTATGTTTTTTGAATTTTGATTGATTTGAGACCTGGTAAAATTATTTTTTTCCGTACCAATTGATGGGCCTGAGTATAATGCCAGTTATGCTCTTTGGCTGAAGTTATTTTTTATTTAATGCTCAATTGCAGACAAAACAATATTGATTGCGCATTTCTAAAACAAAATTTTACCTCTTCTCCTTCTAATAATAGCTCCTTCACCTAAGACGGCGGAATAGTTATTATTATCTATAAGACCATTTGCGAAAACAGTTTTTGTTAACAGTTATGAGTGTAACATTTTATGAGCTGCTTTGTTTATAGTGCCTTGAGCAACACTTTGCCGGTTTCTGTACAGAAAATGATGCTGGCTTTGTCAATACGGATGGCCGCTACCATTGAATATAATACCCGCTATGTTACGCTTATTTACATAGAAACTTATCATTTGCATAAAATTCTAAATAGCACTTTTTACACAAGAAAGTAAACTTTTAGAACAGTCCATTTTGTTTTTCACTAATTAAGTAAAATGTAAAACAAACCAATAGGGCCGGGAATTAAAATTTCTTGCAACTTTTTATAGAAAACCATGACCTTATCATAATATAAAAGTCAATCATTTAGCCATGTGATAAAACTTTTAAGTGTGCCAGTCAAACATTAATGATGATATGTCATTATACTGGAAATAGTCTTTTAAATATTTTGTAGTACAATTGATAATCTTCAGTACGATTGACCGTGTATATGACTTTTATAAGTCTATGTTATTTTTGATGAAAATTATTATTGCAGATAAAAGCCCTTTCACATTTATTTTAGTCTCGAATTAAATTACTCAAAATGAAAATAATAACATTGGCTCTTTATAACTGATCTTTAAATGTAAAACACTGACTTGAAATTATATAATTATTAGCATTTTTTTAATTCATTGAACTTTTTTAAGATTTTGTTGAAACTCTACTGGTAAAAAAAAAACCAAATATATATAAAAAATATATATTATAGTTCTTGATGAAAATAATGTATGCGCGTTACATCGCATCCCATCAAGAATTTCTAATGTAATTCTTGGTGTAAAGCTAAGACGTGATAATAACTGTAAACAATAGAATAACAAAATAATGAAAACATTTACATTTACATACAAAACATTTACAAAAATACTTGCTTTATAACCTAATAAATATTATTTGACCGTAATAAAATAAAACAAGGTAGTCTTGAGCATGAAAGTAAAAATAAATATTTTCGATTATTTTTGCAATATCTAACAGCCGGATCAGCGGGCGATTCTGATCCATCTATGCTAAATTTCAGCAAGCACTGTCAAATTTAATAGGAGTGACAGAAAAACGGTTCTTGATATAGAAAGGTAAATAAATTATTTAACCTATAAAGTAAAATCACTTTATTACAAATCAAAATAGCCCAATAGCTTTATTAACATGAGACATAATTGTACGAGTGCTTACAATACTTAACATTATTTTACTGAAATGTCAGAAAGTTTTTTTTAAATAGAATAAGGGTGACAAACGAGCACACAGTCCACCTGATGGTAACTGGTTGCTACGGCCCATACACATCTACATCTATTCTCGATTACGTATCAAAATGTAGATGCGTTGTCACCCGTGAGGACTAAGATGTAATGCCTCGTTTCCAGTAAAAAGGTTCTCCGGTTCTCTACACTCACCATACGAAACACAGCAGGGTTAAACTGCTATTTTACATGTTATTCCGTGAGAGCGTAGCCCTTCCCCGATCGAGCCGACCCATTCGTGCTACAACTATACGTAATAAATATAGCTGTAGCATGGCACTACCACGTAAAAAAAAATTGACGTTGAAAATTTGAGTATTTTTAGAAGCAACTTTGCAATTATTTTCTATTGAGTTAATTTTTGTGGAATCGTGTTTTGCAAACCGCCACCTAAAATACGTACATTTTTTTTTCGATAATGACGTGAAATTACATAACGATCCCCATGCATTTCAATGTGGCTCTATTCAGCCTCTTAATATGAACATACCTCGGATTTCAGAGATAATGGAAGATATAATATTATATTATTACTGTTCCGTGTGAGGCAACCTTTATACTTATATACATATTCTCATCACACTTTTATGGTTGGATAGAAAAATTATATCTAAATGCAAACTTTCACAGGGTAAATTTTTTTTTTACTATTTTTACCCAGCAAGTAGTAAAGCAACTACAATCCCATCGGTAAGTGGTTATGTAGTCTAAGATGGTGAATTGCACTGACTTAACAAAAACCTATTCACTCTTGCCTAATAGTACTAGGTAAGTATTATTTGCGACCTATTTGTGTGTGTGTGTGTGTGCGCGCGTGCTTGCGCGCATGTGTGTGTGTGTGTGTGTGTGTGTGTGTGTGTGTGTGCGTGTGTGTATGTGTGAAGAAAAGTGTATGAGAATACGTGAAGAGGAATAAAGGTTGAGTACTAATTCGCTTACCTGTACGAGGTTGCCACTCGAGGACCTTTCTTCCTATTTTTTATATGTTTTCCAAGTTATATAGCTAGCCCATTGCCATTTCACTGTAATATTCCGTTGAGCTATGTCAGTTACTCTGATTCTAATGCAAATACCTTCATTTCTAACTTTATCACGTAGAGAAACCCCTCTCCAATTTAAAATTTTTACATTTTTTAGATGATAGTTTGTCTAACATAAAAAAAACCATAAACCCAAGAATATCATTATATAGTTATTTATACTTAGGTAAGCACCATCCTTTTATTTATTTAAATTGTTTGATTTAATTTGATAACAGTGTACCTAAATGTAAGTATCTGTATCTTTATTTCTCTCCCCAATAATATTTTATAAAGTCATACTTATAAAAACAGCGTTTTATTGTAATACATAATTATAAAATTCATTATCAAATAATTAATAAAAATATGCAACAATAAAATTACATGGGTATTAAAAACTATCGAAATTTAAGTAACGAGAGCATGTTCGTCGTTCCACATCTAAATTATATAAAAATGCATTTTTCAATTTCACTAATCAACGTCGCCGCAAAAATTTCTTCTTCTTTGGGCACTTTAAAAATTCATTTATTTAGAAAATAATATTTACAGTTACCAGTGTACAGATATTAACTAAATTAAGTATTTCTAGTCATAAAAATATTTATAATTGAGTATAAACTTTTAAAAAACTAATATATATTTGAACGAAGTCGCTCCAACACCGACGTGCGGTCCACCCTCGACGATGTCCGAAAACGGACCACAGAACACTAATACCCTTAGGCGGGAAACGGACTGTGACAGAGCTTACATGGCGACGGAGCATGCGCGCTCGCGTAAATATATTCAATTTCAGGGAAAAATGATATATTCTCTTATAAAACGGGTAATAAAAATAAAACTCTCAATTAAAAATATTAATATTTTTAAGACCTTTTTTTTAGTGTAAGAACTATTTAAAAAGCTTGTGCCGTTTTGGAGAAATTTTGCAAAATATGACAAAGATACTCATTGGGGATTTTTTTTCTA